GGGGGCCGTCGATGTCATTCTTAGGCTAAATTAGATGCCTTGAGCTTAGTTTTGGTAATTTTATGATATAATTTGATGGGTGGAACCTAAATTGTCTACGATACGTTAATTAGTAAAAGTGCGAATCGACGATCCGACCGTTGGAACGTCACCAAACTTTAACATATGCGATATCGTTATTATCTTAATTTCTTATATTAGTATCATCTGCATATATGAATTGGTATTATAATTATGATTTCTATTGAAATGTGAACTTTATATATTTAGCCATAGACCTATGCTAATTAACTATGATTTGGCTTGTGTATTGATGTTGTGATGTATATATGTGTTTGATTAACTTTTTAATAATGTGAATGATAATTATGATGAATGTTATGACAATTATGGGATCTAAATATTGTTTGATAATTATTTGGATATGCTTGCTAACTGAATACCTACGTGAACTTGGCATTACTACCTAGCATGAGATGAAGATGGAAGTCAGGAGATGAGTTGGGTACTTTATTAGATTTTTAGTAGAATTAGTAATTAAGGGAATTCCTTGTGTTGTGCTCCATATAGTTGGATGCTGGTTGATATGTGGAATCAATAGCAGGTATGCGTATAATTATGTTTAATGTGTGATGATGAGATTGCACCACGTAGTTATGGTACATGGATGGTCCTGCTTGGTATATCGGTGATGGGGGACCATATGTATTCAGGGGTGATCATGCTTGGTATATCCGTTATAGGTGATCACTGCCTGCACGACGAGTTTATGCCTATGGTCTTGCATGGTATATCTGCAATGGGGGACCATACGCATTCTAGAGGTGATGATGATTAGTTGTACATGGTACATTTTTAGGCGATCATATTTGGTTTGGTTCCGTTGAGTGGTCCGGAACCTGAGGTTGTTGAATTTCGTGGAGTGGCCAAAAGTTCCATTGTTTGGAGAAGTAGGCTTGGCCTAACTATGTAACTCTAGCCTTAGTTATATTTATATTTGTGTCAATGGTTTCGAGAGTCTTGTGAATTGAGTTAAAAGATGTTGGACGTCTGAGTGACTCCTTCGGGATTTCTATGATTCGATTATGATTTCATAAGGTATGAATTTAGAAGATATGGGAATGATTGTTATTACTTTGATCAAATTAATTAATTAATGCGGCTAGATAATGGTTTTGTGTTTCGTCGGCTCTTAAATATGATGTGTGTTGTGAATTGCGATATCATGATGAGACATAATGATTTATATGTTGGATGGGAGAGAAATCATGTTTTTATGGGGATTGGTTATGTAAAACGATGAGTCCAGGAATTACATGTGGTCAAGTTATATTGAATGATGGAGGAATACTAAGCTTTTCTGTTTGAATTTAGTGGAATAAACATCGGATTTTGTGTTAGTGAACTACGAATGGCTTGATCCCTATTGAGGGTACGTAGGCAGTCTAACGAGGAGGTTAGATGCAGCCATAAGGTAAACGAAAAATTTCTTTGCAATTTGATTCTCGAATTGTGATTTGCCATATCCCAGAGACGGGGTATGTGAGATATACGAGTATTTGGTGACGTCACGTGTCGATCCTAGACTAATGTCGGGATTGGGGCGTGGCAGATACCGCCACACCTCCCTAAGCTGAATTCGAAGCCCTTTGCTTTCCTTCCACCACCACCCCAACTCGAGCTTCCATATCCAAAATCCTCCCTCTCTATCTTTATCTCTTTCTGCTTCTAGAAAGCTTCAATCTTTCCCTTGTCTTTGAATTCGGGTTGGGCCGAACTTGGTTGATCTCACATGGGTTTTGGCGATTTGAAGAGAAGAAAAAGTGGTGAAACTGTGCTTGACCGCACAGTTGGAAAATCAAGGAAGAAAAAGAAGGGATCATGTCAGAAATTAAAAATCAAATTATTATTTTATAATAAAAATTAATAATATTTTAATAAAATTGACTAGACTATTTAGTTTTAGGGGTAGAGATGCATTTGGCCTAATACTGTTCACTGTGATCTATCATTGTTCACTGAGTGGATTAAATAGGCTGAATGCTAGCGTATTTTTTTTGGGGGGGAATTCTTTAAGGCAGAAATTTATGTCCTATGCTGTTGATCGCGGAGGCAGAATACACAAACGGACCAAATTATGGTGAAAAAAAAGACTAAAAGCGTTTGAGGGTTAGGCTGGTCAACTCAAGAACTCCAAAATGGTTGATAAAATAAGTTTCATGTAATCAGATTTGGATATGCTACGAAAATAATAGGACCAAAATCGTGCCACCTGTCCACTAGGTAGGCCAAATGCAATCACAAACCAGACTGGTCAATACCCTAAACCTAAATTCCTAGTAAAAAGTACGGAGCACCGTGTACCTACATTTGAGGCTTGAGTGTGGCGGATCCTTTTTCTGGAAATTTTGTGATCGTAACCGTTTATCGTATATAATACGGTCAGTTTTCATTAAGTACTATTTATATTTAATTTTAAATTTTAAATTTCAAATAATTTTTAACCACACAATAAACGATTACGATCACGAGATTTCTGAAATCCCTAAGAAAAGAATCTGGCGAGAATCCTTTTCCTTGAGTGTCTTGACTCTTCTCGCCTAGTTATAAAGCCAAATGTAATCACAACCCTAAATTCCCAATTATATATCATTTGCAGGATCTTCTATAAGTACCACGTGTATTATGAGGCAATCAAGGAAACAATGTCCAATGTAAGGCAGATGACTCACTCGTAGAACCCCAATCTTTAATCTAAAGTCTCCAACACTCCCACGCACGATTTAAATATAGGAGTAGGATTCTCTCTCTTTTTTTTTTCCTCCCCTTTCCTTCCCTCCTATTTGAACGGTCACGATTAAGCCATGTTAACATCTTATATTAATTTTTTATAGCAAGAGAAAAACAAAATAAGAGAATGTGAGAGGAGGAGATAGAAAGGGATGGAAAGAGAAGGGGAGAGAATCCTAATCCTTAAATGTAAACCCAATCTATAATTTGGGTATTCGACCTACCTATCATTTGTACTTTTGTTTGTCAGTCATGTACTTTCTTTATTATTATTTTTCATTATGAATATTGCATGATAGTCAAAACCGTTTATTTTCAACGTTATTCTACAATACTTTATGAAAAAAAAAAAAAATAACATGAATTCTATAGAGATCGATTTTATTATGTGAATTCAGCTGCTTTAATAGTTTATGAGAGGTTTATTCTAGCATGATCTAAGATTATTCATTTACTTCAAATATTTGACTTTCCTTTTGTCAATTTACGCATATAAATACATTTAAAACATGTAAGTCGCGCGTAGCATGCCGTGATTCAAAAAATGTCTTTTGCACGCGCGTGAGCGCATGCATGAAGGCTAGTTTGCTGTAAACAAATAAAACATTTTTCATTCAAAATTTTAAATTATTATAATATAATAATTATTATTAGATATAATTCCAACATAGCCTTCCTTTGCATTAAAGAACCAACTTATTATTAGATATAATTCCAAAATAACTTCTGCATGTGAAGGCTAATTTGATGTAAATGGATATAACATTTAGATATAATTCCAACATAGCCTTCCTTTGCATTAAAGAACCAACTTACTTTTGCATTAAAGAACCAACTTACAATTTCCTCTTTCTCTCTAACGGAGGCAAAATTCTCAACATTTATCTTTAAAATCATATCAAAGGAGATTAAATATTACATGATGCCCAATATTTATTTTACTTCATCACTTGTCTTGATTTGTTTTTCGCACGCGAATAATAATGCAGAAGGTCTTTTACACGCATACGACCAACTTGCAGAATCACTATTCATCTTTTCCATTGACTTTATATAAGACACTACAGTCTGTAGTCTTTTGGGAAAGATGAGCAGCCATTGTCAACTTCTGTTGAATTCCATATTCGCCAAATAATTTGATCAAACAACACGTACAGCTTTGACTTGGACAAAACAAAAAAGACAAAACAAAAAATTGAATAGAGAGAGTTGATCCAGAAGGCAAATGAGATTTGTTAACCCCTAAACCTAACTCCAAACGTGAGATAACTGGGTAGCATAAAAAACATGTTACGTATTTATATCATGTTGGATCATTTGATTTGAAGTCGACCATTTCCTTGACAGGTTGCACCGTCCACATGCCCGCCCATCGCATGCAACGCAAGAGCTGAATAGTAAACTCACACGTCAAAAAGTTTCGATAATTTGCAAATATTTGAGTGCTCCGTCTATTTACTTGATAAATTTGAATGATTAAACAATTTTTCTATTTGAATAATTTTTTAGTAAAGATGACATTTAAATGAAGATTAAAAAAATAAACAATCTGATTATGACGTTTATACGATAAAAGTACATTATTCACCAAAAGTAAAATATGTGCATTTCCCAATGAGGTGAACGTGAGTATTATTCATCATATAATAACCTAACAATTACTAGAAAAGGAAAACTAAAAAAAAACATACAAGTATTTGCTAAAGTAACAAATCATCAGTTGTTATATTAATTTCTCTATAAATGCGATTAATTGTATAATTGAGAATAATGATGTATGCTCGATTGTGTCTATAAAAGTTTTTTTATAAAAAATAATTTTCACACCCTCAATATGTTTCTTTAGTTTTCAAGTTGAATAAATCAAATATTTTTACTTTTTTTTTTGTCTACTATAAATAATGATGTCCAAATTGGATAATTCTAAAGAAACTAAATTTGTAGACAAAACTTTGAAAAACTAAACGACACGGAAGTTGATGATTGGTTATTACTTAATCGTTGATAAATGTGTTCATTCTTATTAGCAACACATTATTTAGTTTATAAATTTTGCCTCCAAATTTAATCTCGCTAGCATCATTCTTTCCAATTAGTTCTGTAAAACTCACTATATTTTTTTATGTTATTTTTTTTATTTGGACGCGGTTGGATTTGTTTAAATTCGTTAATATTTCCCGGCTTAAATGATATCACCCGGGAAATTAAGAACAAACACAAAATGCAAGCCTCCTCCTCTCTCTCTGTCAGTCGGTCAATAATTTCCAGCGCCAAAACAATTTTGTATATTGATAAGGAAACGTTAAAATTTGTCGCACAATCCTTTTCCATAGAATCGTACTAAATCTCTCTCTCTCTCTCTCTCTCTCTCTATAAAACTCACATTGCACAGCACTGTGCTGCAAGTTTGCTTCGAGCTGTGTCTCTCTCCGGACAACATTGCAAAGATTCCCGAGAAAGTTCAAAACTTTCCCGGAAAATTCAAAGGGTATTTTCATATTTTTCTCACTGCCCAAATAAGTATCAAAGCTTGAATCAGTGGCGGAGAAAAGTGACAATGGAAGGTGGAAAAGGCGTGGGGGAGAAGAACGGAACAAACGATGTTGTTTTGCAGATTTTGGTCGGCGAAGAGCGCACAAGTTACAACAATGAAACCAGAGACTTGAATCTTCACCTGACGGAGCTTCAGAGCCTCAGAGTCTCCGGCTCTTCTTCGCCAGAAATCCCAAGGCTGAGTCGTACGCCGCCGCCGGGGAAGCCGTGGAAAATCCCAACCGAACCCACTTCCCTGCAAGCTCCGTTTTCGCGGTCGGTGTTCTCGAAGCCCAAGTCGAGGTTCGTGGAGCCGTTTCCCCAGTTGAAGTCAATTGCTAATGCCTCCAATGTGGCATCGCCAAGCTCCAAAATCGCAGGCACAAAACCGAGAGACGCTCTGAGGTCCGCCTCGATAACCCCACGAACACCGTTGGTCGACGGTGGCGAGGAGGACGATGATGAGGAGGTTTATAAGACTGCAAAGCTAAAGGTGTGTGCGAAGTCCGGTAAGAAGATAAAAAAGTTGGCATTGACTGAGTTGGTTGCATTTGTTTGCATTGTTTTGTTTTTTATTGCTGGCATAACTGTACCCACGTTGGAAAATAAGATGTATTTGGGGTTGGGATTGTGGAAATGGTGTGTCTTGGTGTTGGTTGTTTTGTGTGGTAGGTTGGTCACAGAATGGTTTATCAATGTTCTGGTTTTCGTGATTGAGTTGAACTTTTTGCTTAAGAAGAATGTTTTGTATTTTGTGTACGGGTTGAAGAGAAGTGTACAGATTTTTATTTGGTTGGGTTTGGTTCTTCTGGCATGGGGTTTGTTGTTCGACAACGAAGGGAAGAGGTCAAGCAAAACCTCTAGGATCCTAGGTTATGTTACACGGGGTCTAGCTTCATGCCTAATTGGAGCGGCCATATGGCTGGGGAAGAATTTGTTTGTCAAAGTAGTAGCTTCTTCATTCCAATGCAATAGATTCTTTGATCGGATTCAAGAATCAATCTTTCATCAGTATGTTCTCCGCACCCTTTCCGGGCCTCCACTGATGGAAATGGCAGAAAGAATCGGGAGGGCCCCAAGTAGCGGTCGGTTGAGTTTCAAAAATTTGAAGGGAGGGAAAAGGGAGGGGAATGAAGGGGCCAAAGAGGAGGTGATTGATGTAGAAAAGCTCAAAAAAATGAACCAAGAGAAAATTTCTGCTTGGACCTTGAAAGGGTTGATTAATGTCGTAAGGAGTACAGGGTTATCTACCATCTCCGACTCACTTGAGAGTCTTGACGACGAGGAGTGTGAGCAGAAAGGTAAGGAGATTACTAGTGAGTGGGAAGCAAAGGCTGTGGCTTATGATATTTTCCTGAATGTCGCCAAGAGTAACAAGTAAGAATTTCATTTTTTATTTTTCAAAACGTTCATCCAAACCTTAGATGACTTCTTTATCTTTAATTTCTCACTATTTTTTAATGGTAATGGAGTAGGTACATTGAGGAAGATGACCTCTTGCGCTTCATGAAAAAGGAGGAGGTCGACATTGTTTTACCTCTGTTTGAAGGGGCAGCAGAAACTGGCAAGATCAAGAGAAAAGCTTTGAAGAACTGGCTGGTAAATTCTAATTGGTTCCTTTTCTATCTTAAACATTTTATTCTTTGATGCTATGCACCCATCTGCGCAAAACTTGCAGGTTGAGTTTACATGACACTTCTGCACTGAGAAATCTACAATGTATAATGCTACCTCAAACTACACTCTGCATACTTTTCGTGATATCCCGCTGTCACACAAAGTCATAAGTCTTCAAAACTACCGTTGATAGGATCTTAATTCTACATGTTGTAACTGTTGGATTTCAATTTTCAAGTCTTTTTCAGCCAGCAACGTTCGATTTAAAATGAAGGGCTCTTAACATTATTAGTATTTTCAGGTGAATGTTTACCTTGAGCGCAAATCACTGGCGCATTCCTTAAATGACACTAAAACAGCAATAGAGGAGCTGAATAGGCTTGCCTCAGGGTTTTTGCTTCTGGTGATCATTATCGTGTGGCTACTTGTGATGGGATTTTTCACGACAAACATGCTGGTCTTTATAGCATCTCAGCTTTTAACGCTGGCGTTTGTATTTGGTAATACTGCTAAAACTGTGTTTGAAGCGATCATATTCGTCTTTGTGATGCACCCTTTTGATGTAGGGGACCGTTGTGTCGTTGATGGAGTACAGGTAACTTCGAAATCCTCATTCTTCAAATAACTTTTTACTTCTACTAAAAGAACTTTACTTGACGTATTGAAACTTGACAGCTTATTGTTGAAGAGATGAACATATTGACAACGGTCTTCTTAAGATCTGACAACGAGAAAGTTTTCTATCCAAATTCAGTACTGGCTAGTAAACCCATCAGCAACTTCTATAGGAGCCCGGAGATGGGTGATTCTGTTGATTTTACCATTGACGTTTCTACGAAGGTTGAGACCATTGTGGCTCTAAAAGCCAGAATAAAAGAGTATGTTGACTTCAACTTGTTATACTGCTAGCTAGGATTCTCGATTGGATTCGTATAAAATTATTCTGTTTGGGTAATTCTGCTATCCTAGCATAACTTTTTATTCATCTGTCTTGTATCTTTTGGTGGATATATAGCTCCTTTTTTTCGTTTTGCTTCTCTTTTGGTACGGGAATTGTTTACTTGTGATTTTGCACTGCTGTTAAGATTTCTGGTTTCCTGTCATATGTTCTCTATACATGAACATCCACTGGCATAAGCGCGCCTCTGATCGCTAGAAATGAGTTGTTGAAGAAAATTGAATATTTTCAGGTACTTGGACAGCAAGACTCAGCACTGGCGTCCTGCGCATAGCGTGGTGGTTAAGGATATTGAGGACGTTAACAAAATGAAAATGGCTCTTTACGTTACACATACCATAAACTTTCAGAACTATGGCGACAAGACCAGTCGGAGATCAGATTTGATCTTCGAGCTGAAGAAAATATTTGAAGATCTTGGTATAAAATATCATCTCCTGCCTCAAGAAGTTCATCTCCGCTATGTCGGATCATCCGCTGCAGAACTTCCACCCACATGGCGGTGATTGTTTCTGTGTATGCTCACTGTTCTAAAAACCCCCGCCTAACGCCCGTTAGACAGTTGGCCACTGCCCTGATTAATGCTTAGGTGTTTGAAAATTAAGAAAGGGCGCCTAGACTTACTGAGGCGCCCGCCTAAACCACCTAGGCACCCGCCTAACCCGCTTAAACCCACCTAGACACCTGTCTAGGTTGCGACTCACTTAGACAGAAAATAGATAACTTTCATTTTACATTTTATTTTTTCAATAAATTGGAAGAGACTTGTTGAATACTTAAAGGAACATACATTTTATACTTGTTCCCTATGTTTTCATTATGCTCCAATAGCTCATATATATGTAATTCTATTTTGTAGTTTATGATGAAATCATATATATTTTAAGTGTAAACTGACACTTATTTACACGAAATATAATAGATTTAATTAAATCTGCCTAGTTCGCCTAGGCGCATGACTAGACCTTGCCTAGCCACCTAGGCGCTAGGTCTCATCCTAACGCCCGATTAACGCTTAACGTCTTTTCAAACCTTGTGTATGCTGCAAATACGTATCTTCTGACTCATGTCATTAACTTGAAATTTTCGTCGCATTTGCTGTGGGAAGGTGCGAATGAAGTTGCCACAAATCTCATCAGAACAAAAATAAAAATGTAGGAAACGTTGAGATACTGAGATTTATGATAGCTGGTGGAGACACGATGTCGTACTTTTAGAATTGTTTATACAATTTTTGAATGTATTTATGTTAATTGTAAAATTGACTAATTTCAATGCATGAACTCAGAGTTTTCTTCCTCTCTACCCTTTTCAATTCCTTTGATGAGAAGCAATATGTACATTGAGGGCCGAGTTTCAATATTAAAACATGAGATTAAAGTGATTAGTTGTTGTGTTTAGCTTATAACTGAGCATGATGTTAAAAGTATTGACCAAGTTGAAACAAGAGCTAAAGTGGTTTAGTGTTGGTGAATAAGTTGAGAGTGTGAGTGATTTATTATATCACCTTTTATTGGTGTCAGATTAAAAGCATGCCTAAGCTCTCGGATTTTGTAAAGCACACTCTAACCTATTATAGGCTAGTAGCAAATGAAAATTGAACAACCTCAAAAATAATACAGCTTATACTTTCTAGTCAATAATTTAGAGCCATTCCCCTGTATTCGGCTTCTACTGACGACCTTGCCACCACATTCTATTTCCTACTTCACCAAGTAATCAGATCACCAGCTATGAACGTAAAATATCCTGATGTAGGTCGTCTATCAGTAATATACTCAGCCCAATCAGCATCAGTATATCTTACCACCTCCATGTGTCCATGCTTTTTGTACTTAAGACCTTGTCCCATAGCTCCCTTTTATCCGCATTACCCCTAACATTTGATCCTCACTTAGTGCATGCATAAATTGACTCACCACGCTTACCACATAAGCAATGTCTGGCCTAGTGAGGGACAAATAAATCAATTTTCCCACTAACCTTGATACCTCTCCTTATTTATTGGGACTTGATCTTGATAGATTGCAAGACGATGATTCTGCACAATTGGAGTATCCACTGATTTACATGCCAACCAACATACCAGTTTCGGATAGCAAATCCAACACGTATTTTCGTTGTGACAAGTATATCTCTTCTCAAGACCTAGCAACTTCAATAACTAAAAAATACTTTTAAGTTCCCTTAGATCTTTCATTTTAAACTCGGAGGCCAAGTACCTCTATAGCCGTTCAATTTCCTTCGTATCATCATCTATGACAATCATACCATCCACATATATAATGAGCAAAGTAACTTTACCATCATTGTGTTTGATGAATAAAGTATGATTTGAGTTCCCCTATCGGTAGCCGTACTTTTTCATGGCCTAAGTGAATCTCCCAAACCATGCTCTAGGTGACTGCTTGAGACCATGTAGTGCCTTTTGGAATCTACACACTTTCCCACTAGAGTTTGCAACTTCGTAAACTGGTGGAAAATGCATGGACCTCCTCTTTTAAATCCCCATGCAGAAATGCATTTTTTACATTAAATTGTCATGGAGGTCAATCAAAACTAGCAGCAAAAGATAGCAAAACTCTAATGGTATTCATTTTTGCAACTGGAGCAAAGGTTTCTTGATAGTCAACACCAAAGGTTTGTGCATACCCTTTGACCACTAACCTAGTTTTGTACCTATCAATTGTTTCGTCGGCCTTATGTTTGATAGTAAACACCCATTTATATCCCGCTGACTTTTTGCCTTTGGGAAGAGTAACTACAATCCATGTATTATTCTTCTGTAATGCTTCCATCTCCATTTGCATTGCCTCCATCCATTTCGGATCTTTCAAGGCTTCTTCCATTCTTGTAGGTATTTTTTTACAGTGTCCATATGTTGAACAATTGCACAATATTTTAACAAGAGTCGATGAGTGGAGACATATTTTAACATGTCTGACAATTTTCCTCAATTCTATCTGGAAGGTAACACATAAAGTGATTACTAATATATGGGTGAGTAATTACCTTAAAGATATCCGTTAAATCATTGACCGGTACTGAAGGAGTGTTGAGGGGGATTGTCATTTGAGCCCATTTGGGCAGGCGGCAGGAGGGAGAAGCCCACGAGGGCTGTCAGCATCAGACGGTCTCAATTCAGCATGCCCACTGTCTTCCACATGCACAGGAGGCCCACTTTCTGATGTATCAATTTCTGACAAATGTGTTTTTGTTTTGTTTAAAGGAGATTCCTTAATATTTGGCGGGTGAGAACAAACACAACGGAAGTCTCTTCTTCCCTGAGACTTCTCTCTCCCACTGTCAGTCGGAGTCTGTCAATATTTTCCAGCGCCAAAACAACTCTACACATTCATAAAAAAACGTCAGGATTTGTCTTCTGGATTTACCTTTCTATTTTTCTCAGACAATCCTTTCCCATAAAATCCTACTAAATCTCTCTTCCGCTCTCTAAAATTCACATTGCACGGCACCGTGCTGCAAAATTGTTTCAAGCTCTCTCTCTCTCTCGGGGCAACATTGCAAAGATTCTCGAGAATGTTCAAAACTTTCCCGGAAAATTCAAGGGGTATTTCCATGTTTTGCCCACTGTCCAAACGAGTATCTAAAGCTTGAATCTTCTCCTACAGTGTCGGAGAATAGTGACAATGGAAGGCAGAAAAGGCGTGGGGGAGAAGAAAGGAGCAAATGATGTCGTTTTGCGGATTCGGTCGGCAAAGAGCACACAAGTTACAACAGCGAAAACAGAGACTTGGATCTTGAGCTGACGGAACTTCAGAGCCTCAGAGTCTCCGACTCTGCTGCTCCAGAAATCCCAAGGCCGAGTCATACGCCGCCGCCGGGGAAGCCACCGAAAATCCCAACCGAACCCGCTCGATTGGTAAGAAGATGAAAAGGTTGGCATTAATTGAGTTGATTGCATTTGTTTACATTGTTGTGTTTTTTATTGCTTGTTTGACTGCTCCTAAGTTGAAAAAAAAAGATGTATTGGGGGTTGGAATTGTGGAAATGGTCTATCTTGGTGTTGGTTGTTTTGTGTGGTAGATTGGTCACAGAATGGTTTATCAATGCTCTGGTTTTCGTGATTGAGTTGAACTTTTTGCTTAAGAAGAATGTTTTGTATTTGTTTACGGGTTGAAGAGAAGTGTGCAGATTTTTACTTGGTTGGGTTTGGTTCTTCTGGCATGGAGTTTGTTGTTTGACCGCGGAGTGAAGAGGTCAAGAAAAGCTGGATCCTAGGTTATTTTGCACAAGGTCTGGCTTCGGGCCTGATTGGAGCCGCCATATGGCTGGTGAAGAATTTGTCTGTCAAAGTAGTAGCTTCTTCATTCCAATGCAATAGATTCTTTGATCGCATTCAAGAATCGATATTTCACTGATGGAAATGGCAGAAAGAGTTGGGAGGATCCCAAGTAGCGGTCAGTTGAGTTTCAAACGTTTGAAGGGAGGGAAAAAGGAGGGGAAGGAAGGGGCCAAAGAGGAGGTGATTAATGTAGAAAAGCTCAAAAAGATGAACCAAAAGAAAATTTCTGCTTGGACCCTGAAAGGGTTGATTAATGTAGTAAGGAGATCCGGGTTATCTACCATCTCCAACACACTTGATAGTCTTGTGATGAGGAGAGTGAGCAGAAAGGTGAGGAGATTACTAGTGAGTGGAAGCAAAGGCTGTGGCTTATGATATTTTCCTGAATGTCACCAACCGTAGCAACAAGAAAGAATTTCATTTTTTATTTTTCGAAGGTTCAGCCAAACTTTTTGATGACTTATTTATCTTTAATTTCTCACTATTTTCATGGTTAAATGGACTAGGTACATTGAGGAAGACGACCTCTTGTGCTTCATGAAAAAGGAGGAGGTCGATATTGTTTTACCTCTGTTTGAAGGGGTAGCAGAAACTGGCAAGATCAAGAGAAAAGCTTTGAAGAACTGGCTGGTAAATTCTAATTGTTTTGTTTTATCTGAAATTTTTTATTCTTTCATTCTATGCACTTCTGCACTGAGAAAGCTACAATGTATAAGCTACCACAAACTACACTTTGCATACTTCTTGTGATATGCCGCTGTCACATATATAAGTCTTCAAAACTACCGTTGATAGGATCTTAATTCTACATGTTGTAACCGTTGGATTTCAATTTTCATGTCTTTTTCAGCAACATTCGATTTAAAATGAAGGGCTCTTAACATTATTGTTGTTTTCAGGTGAATGTTTACCTTGAACGCAAATCGCTGGCACGTTCCTTAAATGACACTAAAACAGCAATAGAGAAGCTGAATAGGCTTGCCTCAGGGGTTTTGCTTCTGGTGATCATTATCGTGTGGCTACTTCTAGTGGGATTTTTGACGACTAACATACTGGTTTTTATATCATGTCAGATTTTACTAGTGGTGTTTGTAATTGGTAATACTGCTAAAACCGTGTTTGAAGCGATCATATTCGTCTTTGTCAGGCACCCTTTTGATGTAGGGGACCGTTGTGTTGTTGAGGGAGTACGGGTAACTTCGAAATCCTCATTCTTCAAAAACACCTTTACTTGACATATTGAAACCTGACAACTCATTGTTGAAGAGAGGATCATATTGACGAAGGTCTTCTTAAGATCTGACAACGAGAAAGTTTTCTATCCAAATTCAGTACTGGCTAGTAAACCCATCAGCAACTTCTATAGGAGCCCGGAGATGGGTGATTCTGTTGATTTTACTATTGACGCTTCTACTACGGTTGAGACTATTGTGGCTCTGAAAGCCAGAATAAAAGAGTATGTTGACTTCAACTTGTTCTACTTCTCAATTATTTATTGGATTCAAATTGCATCTATATATAGAGGCTCTCTCAGCTAACAAAACCAACTTATAAAGGCATGTTGCGTTGTCAGCGGAATTTAGCAAATTATTTGAACCTGGTGGCGCTATTGCTCACATTAGCATGACATGCAATATTAGAGTTTAGGATCCTTGGAACAGATAGAGTTTAAAAGCTGCTAGCTAGGATTCTCGATTGGATTCGTTGATAAAAATGTTCTGTTTGGGTGATTCTGGTATGCTAGTGTAACTTTTTTTTTATCTGTTTTGCATCTTATGGTGGTTATATAGCTTCTTTTTTTCGTTTTGCTTCTCTTTTGATACGGGAACTGTTTACCTGTGATTTTGCATTGCTGTTACATGAACATCCACTGGCATAAGCGCATCTCTGATTGATAGAAATGAGTTGTTGAAGAGAATTGAATATTTCAGGTACTTAGACAGCAAGACAGCACTGGCGTCCTGGCCATAGCGTGGTGGTTAAGGATATTGAGGACTCGAACAAAATGAAAATGGCTCTTTATGTTACACATACCATGAACTTTCAAAACTATGTTGACAAGAATCCGATTTGGTCTTAGAGCTGAAGAAAATGTTCAAAGATCTTGGTATAAAATATCACCTGCTGCCTCAAGAAGTTCATCTCCACTATGTCAGATCATCCACTGCAGAACTTCCACCCACGTGGCGGTGATTGTTTCTGTGTAAGCTGCAAGTACACATCTTATGGCTCATGGCATTAACTTGAAATTTTCATCGCATTTGATGGCGGGAGGTGTGAATGAAGTAGCCACAAATCTCATCAGAACAAAAATAAAAATGTAGGATGTGTTAGAATTCGTCTCGGGGAAGTTTTCGATTGTTCGATTGAATTGCACTTGGTATGGATGAGTTCGGTGAAGAATGCTCAGTGGAAGAAGCCTCCACGCTGAGAGATACTGAGATTTGAGAGAGCTGGTGGAAACACGATGTTGTACTTTTAGAAATGTTTATACAAATTTCGAACGTATTTGTGTTAATTGTAAAAATTGATTTATGCATAAACTCAGAGTTTTCTTCCTCTCTACCCTTTTCAATTCCTTCGATTACAAGTAATATGTACATTGAGGACTGAGTTTCATATTAAAACATGAGATTAATGTGAATGGTTGTTATGTTTAGCTTGTAATCAACGTGATGTTAGAATATTGACCAAATTGAAGCAGAAGCTTAAAGTGATTTACTATCATCTTTTATTGGTGTCAAATTAAAGCACGTCTGAGCTCTCGAATTTTGTTGACCCCACTCCACCTTTAATAGGCTAGTAGCAAATAAAAAATTAACAACCTTAAGAATAATACAGGTTATATCAAACGAACATCATTTAGTGCCCCTTTGTCCGATCAATGTTTTAGTGTGAGGGATACTGACGAGGGGCTGGACGAGATGATTCAAACAGCAAAATTAGGCTAGTTGCAGGAGAGTAGTGTTTTCTAAATTTTTGGTGTTCGATTTGAGTTTCACGATACTTTTTCAAAATAAGAACAACGAGACAGTGCAACTCACAGCTTCATCGTGACATAAGACGGACTTTAGCATTTTAACAACGTTTGAAGGATTAATAACAGGTAAACAGAGAATAATTTGTATATAAATCACGATTAAGTATCCTTTTGTAGTCACTAAGATAGTGGTAGGTTTGATACCATTAGACTATTCGAATGAGAAGGGTGGTTCAAATTTCAGAACCAACCCAAATCCCCAATAGGATAAGATAACCTTATCCACCAATCCCAATTGGGAACCTGCCACGTCGGACAAAGATAAATGGCAATCTTCCCACCCCTCATTAATCAGCTCCTTCCTCTACCTCTATCACTCTATCTACCAAGAAGCACCTCAAATCTGACACAAAAATTTCACGAAGAAAGAAACGGCTGCTTTTAGAGAGAGAAAACCAAGCTAGAGAGAGAAAATGGCATCAACCACAGCAGTTACAATGGCCATGCCATTGACCAATGCAACCCAAAAGAGGATCCAGTCCTCCGCTGGGTGCTTCTTCAAGCCACTGCCACTAAGGCCTTCAAAGGCTCTGGCACCCGCGGCGTCAAAATCGAGCGGGAGGCTCCTAGTCAGGGCTTCGTTGAAGGAGAAGGCGGTGACTGGAATCACGGCTGCCGCGCTCACCGCCTCAATGGTGATCCCGGAGGTGGCCGAAGCAGCCTCGGGAGTTTCTCCTTCTCTGAAGAACTTCTTGCTCAGTATTGCGGCCGGCGGCGTTGTAGCTGTTGTGATCATCGGTGCTGTAGTTGGTGTGTCCAATTTCGACCCTGTTAAGAGAGGCTGAGGATATTGATGATTTTTCTATCTTATTGTATCTGTTATGTAATGTTTATGTCTGTTTTCCATGTGTTTAATATGTGACTCTTATTCGACTCGTAATTTGGCTGAAAAACTGTGAATTCTGATATCTCGTCTTCCGTTTTTCGACTTTTGTGCAACAATTCGAAACACAATGCAATCACAGAAGAAGGAAATCATAGAGGGCAACGGAAAACGAACAAAGAACAAAAACACCATGAACTCAATGCAGAAATTTATATTGTCCCCGGAGAATACACCTACGTTTTACAGTGCCTACTATATAAATGCTAATCTGCTTCACAGTCGCTAGATAATAATCTCAATTTCTGTGTAAACTTGCCGAAAAGAAATGTAACTACTCCAAACATTGCAATCAGTTGCAACTGAGCTACATCCGTTAAAATTTAACTCGATCGTGTACATTACCTAGAATATTTCGAAATCATATCAAGCATGTATCTGCTGTCTGAAGAATAGTTCACCTTATCTGCCTTCACTATGGTGATCTTCACCCTCTGCTCATCGCCATACACCTCCTCTTTGATTTTAAGCTTGAACAGAAACTGGTTAAAGATACTGCTCCGGACTATGTCTCCAAATCTTGAATCATCCTGCTCTTCGTACTTCAACAAGTACAGCTCCTTTGCTGAGCAACCCAAGATCTCTTCCCCAGTTTCCTGAAAAGCCGTCGCCCAAGTCAATCCAGTATGGTCTTGAATTTGGGCCTGAAGAAGATACCGATAATCACACTCCTCGAATTCTTGATTGCACCTGTCACACTGCCATCCTCTGTTTCCTGACCTCGACACCTTTTTATTGCACTGCCTATCTCCAATCATCAAGGGACAGGCTGTGTAACAGAAAGAATCTGTCTTAATGAAAGATATTGTCGCCATCACAGTGACCCAGTCTGGCTTATCTGATCTTCCAAGACCTTCATCCTTAATCTGAGAAATGGTTTTGCGTATCTCATTCTTAGTTCCTCCTGGAACAAGGTCTTTAGAAATGGAGACAGAAGCAGTATCCTTGCCCCCTCGGTCAAACCAGTCTCTCAAGGTAAGAGCATCAGAAATTTCTGGGTTTATAAATAGTTGTGTAGAATGAATTGTTCCAACGGACTTCCCACTGAAATCATTAATCTTCCCAGCTTTAACAGCTAAAACTGGGGAAAACCCAGAAGCCAACATCTCTTCAAGCTTTTGACCTTCCCTGTTGCAGACATCCCCCCAAAGGGTTAGCTCAACGCTCTTGCCCGACCAATCCTTTAGATTCAGAATTCTTCTCTGAGTTTCCATACCGTTCTTCCTCATGATAGGAACAGAAGGATTGACAGACATCACAATACCAATAACATCAACAATAGAATTACTTTCAGCATTTTCAATTTCACTAATCGGCCTGAAGTCGAAGTTTTGCGCTGGTATGGAACCATCTTCATCAGGGCAGAGGTCCACAGTTGAACTTGCATCCAAAGTTATCTCCCAGTCATTCTTCAGATGGTTGAAATTCTTCTGTGCAGGTTTCAAGCTTCCCTTTGAAATCAAGTAAACTCTGCCAATCTCAATAATATCATAGAAGCGGTCAAGAACAGCATTGAAGCAGGTAACTCTTATTTCCCCTCCTTCAGAGTCAAGCAGGTCGAAAGAGAAAACTTTACCGTCTCCTTTAGCATTATTATACCGACGGGGGTCCCCTTTTGCTGTGACCCTTGCCTTGATAGCCCATCTTCCCTGATAAGGATTCAGAGCATTAATGGGAATGATCCGTGCTGGTGCATCATTCTTCATGATTGGACCACGATTTTTGTAATGTGGAGGTGGTTGGTAAGGAGGTTGAACAGTAGTTCGAATATTTGGCGCATTGTGTGCAGAGCTTTCAGGATGAAGACGAGGTCTGACATTCGGCCTCTCAGAATGAAAAGTAGGTCTGATATTCTGTCCATTGTGAATAGGATTTTGCGAAGTCATATGATTACTGGCTGACTGCTGAAAACTGCCATTAGGCAATGCATTTGGAGCATCTGAATTAGGTGCACCATATGGTTTTGGATTCCCAATAATGTCACAGTTCAGTATGATAGTTTCCATGTTCAGCACAACAATAACCCTGTACAAAGAGTACAATGTCAAAACTTGCTGCAAACTTCAAAACAGGAAATCGTAAAAAATAATGAAACGGAGATATAGAAGTTCTTGTATCAAAATGTGCCGACTCTATACATTCATTTTGCAACTTACATCGATTTTAAGCTCTTCAGTTAGATAATTTTAAGTTCTCTTTTATCCAATACAAATGAACCTCATTTCTCGAGTTGGATGAACATCAAGCACGGAGTTGCACATAACAGCTAACTAGCACAAATCCGCACAAACAAAATAAACTACTCAATTATCAGATACAAGCTACAAACTGCCATTCCAACGAAACCAGGACATTTCATTACATACAATTTATGTGAGCTCATAAATTGATTTAATCAAATTTCGAAAACTAGATTTCCTGAAACGAAAATCGCATCTGATCATTGCTCAATCAGCCACAGTATAATCAGCTCAGATGCAGACTCGATAGCATTCAGTTGATTCCAAAATCTCAATTCAACTACTTGAATCAGCATCGTAATGTTATCACTATCACATTCTAATCACAAGCAAAATCTCATTTAACAATCAAAATTAATGCAAATTAATCAAAAATTGAAAATGATATATATATATATATATATAGAGAGAGAGAGAGAGAGAGAGAGAGAGAGAGAGAGAGACTGACTGGCGGTTCTGGAGGACGGTGCAAATGTACTCGGTGAGCTGGACGACGGAACCTATTTGGACACGGTTGGTCTTGATTCGGTCGTTGAGCTGCGAAGAGATCATGGCATGCTGAGACGAAACGCCGTCGGAGACCATGAATCGGTACCTCTCCTGCGTGCCGATGAGCTTAATATCGATCACCTGCACCAACGGCTTCAAATTCAAGTCGCCGCCTATCACCGCCGCGATGGCGTTCGGCGTCAGGTTCACGGGCATTTTCAGAAACCCTAGGGATAGGCGTGTGTCTTTCGGGGAGGAGGACGACGGCGAGGGAAGGGTAGATTGGAAATTTGACTAGAGATTGACGACGGAGTGAGAGGCGGTTGTGGAATTGGCGGGCGTTTGGAGGAAATGACCGAGTGAGAGAGGGATTTTGATTTTTCGAATCGGGTATTTAGGGGTTTATATAGATAGGCTTTGGGTATGTGAAATTACAGTTTTGTCACCACCCTTCCAATTTTTCGTCTTCATTCCTACGTTTGGGATATTGAAGAACTTTTACACAAGAAGGCGCATTTGGAAATTGGAATGTTGTGTGATTGCTTTAAACAAATCTAAACTGCAAGAAAATGATTTGAATTCATATATATATATATATATATATATGCCAAATAGGATAAATGATTTATGTGGTCATAAGGTATTTGGAAGATAGCCTCTGTGCTAAAAAAATTCGGATTTAAACTCATGTGGTATACTCTGCTAGCAAATTTAGTCCAAAAGTGATTTTTCAGTTAACTATCTGTTAATATATGGGTAAAATTGTACTTTGACATGACATGTGCACTCTTATTCGACACCCAGTTGTCGCATTCATCAGCCTCCGACTGTGACCTACCCAAAAATCTACCTCCTCCTCCTCGCTCCCTCCTCTCAAAGGAATTTCCCGGCATCGATTTCTTCGTGGCGCCCCAATCAACAACCTCATCCGCCCTTGAAGGTTCATCTCGATTCAATTACTTCCCAAACGCTCTCTCTTTCTTGTTGCAACAGACATAGATGAAATCAAATATTAAGAAAGCATTTTACAAAAAAAATACTCCATCTCCTTTGTCTCACCATTCCCTGTAATTCTTGCTTCTAGTTAAGGTTGAACTAGTGGCTGGAACTGATATCTAACATTTGTATCAGCCTCCGATCCTGGTTTCCCTTCTGTGTATGCCCCGCCACGCTACTACAACCCGTTTCACCGCTATGGATGCTCGAATGGCTGAGTTGGAAGCCTCCATGGCTGCCATTCCTTCTTTGATTGACGATTCAAATTCTACCATCCTGGATACCAAACTCCAGGGTGTAGTTTGAGCAATTCCGTCGCAAACTCCAGTATCGTGGTCCTGACATTGGCCCTTCCAACACAGTAGTGCCTAATCCACCAGATCCACCCGTGTTTGGTCTCATTACATGTCCGCAAAGTCCGATTCACAACGGCGTTGACCTCCTCCACGACCGCCATGGTCTCATCGGATTGATTTTCCCCGATGCACTGAGGGCGATGATCCTCTTGCTTGAATTTTCAAAGCTGAATAGTATTTCTCCTTCTATAACACTCCGGCCAATCATCGTGTTCTCACTGCTTCTTTTCATATGGATGGCGAGGTATTACAGTGGTTTAGTTTGCTGGATTGTGTTCAGGACTACTCCAAGTTAGGAGGAATTCACTCGCGCCTTCTGCCGAGAGTTTGGGCCTTCCGAATTCAAAGATTAGTGCGGAGACCTTGTTCAAGCTTCGCCAAACAGGTACTCTCCGTGACTACATTACTGAATTTTGTCGTTTGGCTACTCGAACGACTGATATTGGTCCGCTTTTTACTTAAGAGTTGTTTTTTGGGTGGCCTTAAATGTGAACTCAAATTTGATGTTAAATTGTTGAAACCTGCGAATGTTCATGAAGCAATTGCTCTTGTCAGTCCAATTAGATACCAAACACTTTGAGTTGAAAGTCTTCCCTCCTAAATCCACTCCACCAGTTAAGTCCCAAGTTGTAATCCCCACACATACCACATATCAGGTGCTTAGAGTTGGAAATTTAGCCATTCAGAGACTCACCCCTGCTGAGATTCAGAAGAAGAGGGAAGATGGGGAGTGTTGGTTTTGTACTGATAAGTGGACTCCGGGACATAAGTGTGGTTTTAACAATTGTTTATGCTTGATGTGATCAATGATGAATTACCTGATGATGACTCTATTGGGTTACAACCTGAGCTTCTTCATATGGAGCTTAGTGAATGTGCATTTTATGGGACTAAGGCTAGGCAAACTATTCAAACAATGAAAGTGGATGGTGTTGTTAATGGTCAACCTGTGAAAATCCTTTTGGATTCCGGTAGTACGCACAATTTTATTGATTCTCGCCTATTGAGACAGTGGGGGCAACAAGTTCATCCCACCAAGGAATTTGAGGTAATGATTGCTGAAAGAGGGAAGGTTAAGAGTTCAGGGTGTTGTAAGTCAACTTTTCTCACTATAGGGGGTATAACTGTGCAGTGGATCTCTACACTTTACCTTTAGGGGGTTGTGACATTATGCTTAGGGTTCAATGGCTTTCTTCCATTAGTCCTATTCTCTGGGATTTCCAATTGCTGACTATGGAGTTTGTTAAAAATAATCAGCAATACAAGTGGCATCATAGTCTTATGACATTGCCAGTTATTCAGAAGTCTCTTTACAGCATCTTGACAATGACATTTATAATTCCAACTTAGGGTTGTTCTTATACTTTATGGAAGGGGAAAAACTTGAAGCTAGTGATCTCACCCAGTCATAACTACAGGAATTACAAAATTTGTTAGGACAATTTGAGTCTATTTTTGTTCTATCAACTAAACCCCCACCCTTCAGAGTCCATGATCATCATATACCATTGGTTCCAGGAGCAAAACCACCAAATATCAGACCATATCATTATAGTCCCCTGCAGAAAACAAAAATTGAGAAGGCAATTCAAGAACTTTTGGAAGCTGGGTTTATAAGGCTAAGTCATAGTCCCTTCTCATTTTCAGTGTTATTAGTCAAGAAGAAAAAGGGTACATGGAGAATGTGTGTCGATTATAGGGAGCTTAATGCTCTGACCATCAAAGATAAGTATCCAATCCCTCTAATTGATGACTTGCTGGATGAATTGCATGGTGCTGTTTTCTTTTCAAAACTTGACTTAAGGTCAGGTTGTCACCAGATATTGATGAACAAAGAAGACATTGCTAAGATTGCATTTAGGACCCATGAAGGACATTACAAGTTTTTAGTAATGCCCTTTGGTCTTACTAATGCACTTGCAACTTTTCAAAACTTGATGAATGATCTTTTCAAACCACTTCTTAGGAAATTTGTTCTGGTATTCTTTGATGACATTTTAATATACAGTAAGTCTTGGGAAGATCACTTGACACATCTACAACAGGTTTTTCAGATATTGCAAGACAATCAATTGTTTTTTAAGAAATCTAAATGTTCCTTTGGTCCAAGTAAAGTGGAGTACCTTGGCCATAATGTGTCTAATGAGGGTGTTATGGCAGATCCTAGCAAACTCCAAGCAATCATTGAATGGTGTGTACCAAGGAATGTGAAGGAATTGAGAGGATTTCTAGGCCTCACAAGGTACTACAGAAAATTTGTGTCAGGCTATGGAAAAATATGCCAACCTTTGTACAATCTCACTGAGAATGAAGGATTCTATTGGGGAGTGGAAGCTTTGGAAGCATTTGAAAAACTCAAAAAGATTATGTCCTCACCACAAGTATTGGCCTTGCCAAATTTCAATCAACCCTTTGTCTTGGAATGTGATGCTTCAGACAATGGAATTGGAGCAGTTCTGCAGCAAAACCATAGACCAATTGCATTCACCAGTCAGGCATTGGGACCTAAGAATCAAGCTCTTTCTACTTATGAAAGAGAACTTATTGCAATAGTTCATGCTGTGAAAAAACGGCAGAACTATTTGCAAGGTAAACACTTCATAATCAAGAATGATCACAACAGTCTCAAGTATTTCTTAAGTCAAAGAGCTAATACTCATTTTCAACAGAAATGGGTTTCAAAACACTTGGGTTTTGATTATGAGATCCAGTATAGAGTGAAGTTGAGAACACAGTGGTTGATGCACTCTCTAGGGTCCCAAGTGTCAATTCTGAGTTGGTAAAGAATCCAGTTCACTTTGACATGGAACTCACTAGCCATATCTTACCCTTATTTTGGCTGGATGGATGATTTAAGGAGAAGTTCTGAAAGTGATGAGTGGGTTATGGAAAGGGTTAAGTCTGTGCTTGACAGTTCTAAGACAGTTATTGATAAGGCTACAATTTCCAAGTATATTGTTGATAATGGGTTCTTGTGCTACAAAAAGAGGGTAGTTTTGAGTCCCACATCACCTTGGAGACATAAGATCATTGAAGAGTATCACTCTTCTCCGGGAGGAGGTCACCAATGAGTGGTTAAAACATATCACAAGATCAAAAAAGGGTTCTATTGGCAGGGAATGAAGAAGGATATTCGAAATTTTGTGGTTGAATGTAACATTTGTCAACAAAACAAAGTGGAAACAATAGCTCCACCTGGACTGTTATAACCACTACCAATTCCACGGAAGAATTGGTCTGACATTAGCATGGATTTCATAGTTGGTTTGCCAAATTGTAGGGGCAAAACTGTGATCATGGTGGTGGTGGACAGACTTTCTAAGTATGCACCTTTCCTTGCTTTTTCTCATCCATATACTGCAATGAGTGTGGCTCAGGCATTCATTGAGTTTGTCTTCAAATTGCATGGTATGCCAAGTTCTATTGTGAGTGATAGAGATTCTGTGTTTATCAGTTCATTTTGGAGGGAGTTTTTTAAGCTACAAGGCTCAAAACTATGCATGAGTTCAGGTTATCACCCCCAGAGTGATGGACAAACTAAGGCTATGAATAGGTGTTTAGAGACTTACTTAAGATGTTTTATTGGAAGGCAGCCTAAAAAATGGGTGAATTGGTTGCCATGGGCTAAGTGGTGCTTCAATACATCACATCACACTTCTGCAGGTTTTACACCTTTTGAATTGGTGTATGGTCATTCTCCACCTCATATAGCTCCATATGAAGTAGGAACTGCCAAAATGGACTCTGTGGAACAAAGTCTTCTCGAAAGAGATAGGATGCTTGCTGTTCTCAACCGTAATTTGAAATTGGCACAAAATAGGATGACAGTTCAGGCTAATAAAAGAAGAACTGAGAGGCATTTCAATGTGGGGAATAAAGTATACCTGAAGCTGGTTCCTTATCAGTTGCAAACATTGGCTGCACACAGTTACCATAAACTGCAACCTAGGTTCTATGGTCTTTATGAAGTGTTGGAAAAGATTGGTATGGTGGCTTATAAATTGAAATTACCCAAAGGATCAAAGATACAT